AACAGGTGTGGGGGGGGTGAGAAAATGTATACTGAAGCGCTCCTCAAGATTTCTTTTTTGTGTCTGCTAAGTTGAAGAAAGGGAAGGGAGGGAAGATACAAAGACATATAAGCTTGTTCATGGTAATACGTCTAAGCCACTGTGTGTATGTCTGTCTTATTCTGAACTTGTCTTTCAATTCTAGGAAGATTTCTGTGTCAGTAAACCTGTAAAACGTGTTTTGAGGAAATACGACAAGCTGCTGAAGAGCTTTCAGTCTTCCAAGGCCCTTGATGCAGTACTGGAGGTAAGGGATTGGGTTTTGTCTCATCAGAGTTGTGTGCTGTGATCTGACGTGGATTTTTTCTACATGTCAAACTAATTTTATTTCAGTGTGTAACTAGGAAGGAATCAAACTTGGGTGGGTTCTGTTTTGGTTTTGCTGATATCAGCCCTGTTTTGTGTGTAGAGTTGTTGCTTTGGTACTAAACTTTTCTTATATATGTTCAGCCACCCATCAGGCTTTATACTCCTGAAGTTACGGTTGCAGTCATGCAGGAGCTGCATCGCAGAGGAACACTGAGGAGTGCACTTGCAGGCCGAGACGAGAAGCAAATTAATCTCCTTCTTACCTTTGTGGCAAGGTATTACTTTAACCTGAGTTCTTTCTGACTGTTTTGAGACCTGTATTTCTTAATAGCTTTTGCCACAGAGTCTGAACAGATCACGGGTGGAACACTGGTACTCTTGAAATCTCACATGCCTTCTGCTTTCTGATATCAAGGTCTGGGATTTCACTCATAGTACTGAGCTAGTTTACCTGTTAGTACAAAAAAATTTTGCTGATAGTGTGAGAGAGTATATTTTACTTTGCCAGACATTCTACCCTTAGTCTATTATTTTCTGTCTCCTCGATGAAACTAATGTTTACATGTACCTGAGGCTTTTGCCAGTCCTCCAACCCCCACTGCCTTCCCGAAAGGAGGAGGGTAAATACCAAATGTAGCTTTTTTTGAGTTGCATCTCTGACTGCTGTTCTGTGATGTCTCTTCATGAAAAAAAAAATTCTCTGTATGCCTGTATGAGAAAGTTGTTTGTTGGTGGGAGGAGTGCAGTTGGCAAAACCAATAAAATTAGGATGTGTTTTAATTTTGCAGGCGTGTGATTGAGCCTAGGTTTACTCCTGTACTGGTGACTGTTGCAGATATGATCACTGGTAAGTAGAACACAAAAAAGATTCTCAAAGCCATATAGCTAGCTTGGAAATACGGTTAAAAGTGCTGCATTTTTAAGAAACCAAACCGTTGTGGGTTTGTTTATAAGTATGAACTCAGTGTCAACAGGATGCTTCAGAAAGAGATATTGCCAGATAACTTTGACCACAGTCAGTGTCTGGTTTGCACCAGCTGCAGGAAGCTCCTCATGGTCTCTAAGTATCTCTGATACCTCATGTTTCTATAGTTACTTAGCACAAGTGACTTCCACTTCTCCAATGAGGTAAAAATAGTATTTGGGGTCATAAAAACTTCTGTTTCTGTTAGTTTGACTTACTGTTACTGTGAGTACGTACCAATGATTAACACTGTTTTCAGAACGCCGTTAAAGTTGTCATATTTGTCCACAATGTTGGACTAGTGCCAGACTCCTTAAATGCATCTTTAACTAGATAATATAATTTTCACATTTTTATAAATATGTGGATTCTTAAGTGACTTTTTTCTTTACAGACATTTATCAGCCTGTGGTTGGGCAGTCAGCGATTGTTGATAGACAATTCTTGAGACTTCAGGAAGCCATAGGAAAAGAGATTGACTATCAAGAGGAACTACTAGAAGTTTTGGGAATGATGGATACGCTCTTTGCTACTTTTACTAAGAAGAAAGCTACTTACCTAGAAGAGAACAAAAGTAATGGTCTTACAGAGACCATTGAAACAAGTACGAATAACTGACTGACAACCATCACAACAAATTGTCACAAAAATCATGTGGACTTGAAATATATGACCTGTTCTCCTGGTAACTTTTTATAATAGTGACTTCCAAAATAAGCCCCTCTATGCTGAAGTTCTGTCTTCCAAACTGTGTTTTTGAATAGGCTGAATTACTGAAGACAGAAAAAGAAGGACGTTTCCAGGATTTCCCATGAAATATTTTTCAAACAATTGAATTTTAAAGTTTTATTCCAAAGTTATGTAACTTTTAAAGAGTATTTTGTGCATCCAGTACTAAGTCATTATTTGATTTAGAGAGTCAACAATTTTGTTTTTATTTATCAGAAAATAATTGAGGTTTGTCTAATTTTAATGTGTCATTGTCCTTATTTAAGGTTAATATCCCATCTCACATACTTGGACACACGAATAAAACCACACATGCATTTGATAAAACTTGACGACATTGTGTTTTCTCTCCCTGCTTCATCTCCATTTCGGACTTCTGTGAATTCATAGGAAACAGCAAAATGACTCAAGAAAATAAGCATGTTATTTTTTTGTTTTGCTTTAGTTGTTTGTTTTGTTTAGTGCAATAGGAGAAATATGCTTACGTATATTGAAAAATTTGTTCATTTCATGCTTCTAAAGGGGAATCAAATTAAATTAATGTAGTGAGTAAGTAAACTGCACAGCAGTGCGAAAATCCTCAGTTAAGTGAAAGAACTCAATTTTTGTGCAATTCTATCACTTCCAATGTACAGTAGATGCAATTTGAGTCTACATTGTTATCAGTATGTAAGTACTGGGGTAATGGTTTATTTTAACTTCAAGCAGTGCTGGAGAAGGATCGTGTACTTTGGAAAGGTGGATGTGCCAAAGGCTGCTCAATGCATGTAGGATGACAGTAGGGTAGAACTTCGTCTTTAACCTGTTCTCTGTGACTTGCATTTTCCTCCAGGCCTGGAATTTATTTGAGATATAATAGGAATTTCCTGCAAAAGGAATTTCCTCAAGTGTTGCGGTGAAAGGTGGGTATCAGTGGTAAAAATAACTTGAAAAATTTTGCAAGTTCTACCTAAAATCTTAACAATCTTTGACTGAAAAGTGTAGAGCAGTATCTGGTCTGCCCTTAAATTAATATGTGAGCATTATATGTTCCTGGCTCTGGTGATTACTGGTTTTGAAGACTTAGGGTGATAATAGGTAATAATAAGGAGCATGCTCATGCAAACTTTAAACTTTTAGTTTTCTTGCTGCTTACTGTACTATTTTTATTTTATTTCTGCTAATAGACCTGAACTTACTTTTTTTTTGTTTGTTTTTGTTTTTAAAATCTGTGTTCTACTTTTAATTGTGTGACTTAATCAGGCAATATCTCTTAGGAGACTTCACATAAAATGGGGGGCGGGGGGGGGCGGCTCTTCCTGGAGCTTTCTTATTCCATGACCCTTCAGTAGTGCTTGGAGTTGAAGGTGGACATTTCTCTTGGCAGCCTAGTGTTCTGCTCAGAGAGTGGAGGGAAAGGATGGCTAGTAGATGAGCTCCCAAACCTCCACTATTTTGTGAATTATGATGCTGTTTCCCCAGCTGCAAAGGGAACTTAGGATCTGGTAGGTTGGTTGCATCACCACCTGAATTTACAAAAAGATGTTAAAGCTGCTCTTACGAAGAAACTGTTGCCTTCCATTACTTCTATTCTTCTATTCTATTCTACTTCTATTACTTCTGTTACTTCCATTTTTTTCTGCACTGTCTTTCGCTATCAAATGAAGTGAAAATATGTGATGATTAACTCTGGCTCTTGGAGATCTGGATTGATCAGGTATTGGGTTTCAGCTAATACTGCTGGCTTTCTCTGTACTTCTGCTAAAAAATAGTTTTGTCCCTTATTACATCTTAGACTTGTTCTTTTAGTTAAACTGTAGTTGAACTGGTTCCATTTAAAGACTTGGTGTTTGGTCATGGAAGGCTTCTGAAACTGAAACAGTTTTATTTATCAGACACAGTTGTTCTTAGATGGTTACAAAATTTTCTACAGTCTTCTATGTAAATTAAAATAGCAGGGTATACTTTTCTCCTTCCTAAATGGAACACTTTCTCATTGTTTGCCATCATCATCTGCAACTTGTATAACAATGTCATAAAGTACATTTGCTTGCTCTCAAGTAATGCAGGGCTATTGAGTGACCATTTGAAAAGTGATTTCACAACTCCATGCTTGTTTCACTCTTTATAAAATAATCACTGCTCCCATCAGAGTGTTAACAGCATAGGAAATAAGACAGCTTGGATTAGGTTTTTGAAGTTAATTTGGTATAATGAATATATATATTAAATAAAGCTGTCTTGCCAAATAAGATAAAATGTGATATTGAATGCAAAATTTGTACTCAGTTTTTTAATTGCAGAAAATATTCATGTTCCTGAGTAGTTTTCGCACTGTGCATGGCTAACCTTTAGTGGAAGGGGCAGGGTGATACTCAGAAGTATATTCTTTGTGAAGACGCACTGGTAATGGCAGTTGCTAAAAGGGTGCTACACAAAGCTTAAAGAACTTGACAGAGAAAACAGTAAAATGTGAAGGGAATGAGCAATGCTGTGAAAGTGTAATATTGAAGTGACTAATAAAGCAAGCAATTTCTGATTGATTGATGGATTGATGTGGCAGGAAGTGCTGGGAAATAGATGGATATAAAAGAAGATGGAAATATTCTTGCTGTTTATGTACCAGGCAGAGTTCCCCCATGACTTAGTGCATGAGCCGTCACAAGAGAGTTGTTTCAATTCTATTACTGTTTCAAGGTATGTGCTTACTCCAGCCCTCCTCAAATGAAATAGGTTCCTACTTACGGAGTTGTCCCTTTTGTATAAGCACTGACGGAATTCTGGAGTTGAGACAACATAAACCAGTTCATGTGCTCGCAACAGTAAATGGAAACATTACACATCTAAAATCTGAGGTTTTGATACAGAATAGGTTTCTCGATGCTTTAGGATCATTTAACCTTCTGCCAAGGATTTCTGCTTTAGGTCTGAAGTCTCATGAGTTGACTAAGTGTGAAAGAGTGGGCTGTGTTAGGAAAAATTTTGAGCATGTTAAAGCAGGCTTGAGACATTCCTTACTTAAGAGAAAACAAGCAAACAAAGAAATAAAACGTACCCGTTTATAGATTAAAAAAAAAAAATTCTGACCCCACCCAGATGAAGCAACTTCCTTATATTGCAGAAGTCCAGCTGGATGGTAAATTTGGCATTACTATTGCCAGCAAATAGCCATCATTAGTCTTCAGACTCTTTCACATCCCTGCATTTAAAAGCAAACAGAAGGAGTTTGTAATGGCTCTAACAATGCTTGTGCAACACAAGCAAATCTTGCCAAATATTTGATTTTGATTTGCATGTGTACTTGAGCTCAGAGTTTGTGCGAAAGTTACAGTTGCAATACTGAGCTGAAACATTTTCAGGTTGCTCTAGATAACCACAGTCTACCTTTCACTAACGTTCAATGATTGGAGCCTGTAACCTAAACTACTGAAATCCTGCAAAACAAAGAAGTCAGAAGTTTTATGGGAAAACATCAGATTTTATAGGATACTGCAGTTTATAATGTAAAACACAAATTTGGTAGCTACAGAGCAAATTTTCAGCGAAGATCACACACTTCTTACACTTGGAAAAACAGGCAAAACTAAAGAACCCCCCGCATGTAGTTTTCAATACTTTTTCATTTACAAACCCCTTTAAAAATGAAGGAAAAGGCATATAGGAAATGTCAAAATGCTGCGTTGTAAAAAGATTTGAGCACAAGTTGTGATTTTAATCCTTATCTATGTAGCTATTTGTAGCTACAATGACATATTCGGATGGAAGATGACTTGAAGTGCTCATCATCTTTTTTTTTTTTTATTTTTTTTATCTCTTCAATGAGAGTTACTTTGCTTTCTGGAGCTTCCTGTACCACGACTTCTAACACCACCTTTGGTCTTCGGGAAAGATTATTTCAGCATTTTTCTTATTTTGGTAACCATTTATTAAGACTGGAAATTCAGAAGTAGACTTGGAGAAGTTTCTCCAAGCTGTGTCACTTGGGGGGCAGGGGGGGCTAGAAGAAGAGGAGTAGGAGGAGTAATAGTAAGTAAGTACTAAGTAAGTAGTAGTAATATTAGGAAGCTCAAGGAACCATTTCACTGCCTCTTTGCCTATGATGCTTTCCATTTTGTAACATTATTTTTTGCATGTGTGTGTTGAAAGCTAAGCATTCATCTAAACGTTTCAATTCTTATTAATTAAGGTAGTAGTTGGCAGATCACAGATTCTTTGCTTTAAACCGTATTTAATAACCAATGTATTCAAGCAGAAACCATTCTGTGCATCATGAAAAATGGGGTAAACTTTAGTCAGTGACACATAAGTCCTGGGCAACAGTCATTACTTTGTGAGGATGTTCTATGCGATCCAAAGACAGTCTCTAAAGCATATGTTGTTTCTTTTCCTTTGATATTTGAATGTGGTCTAGCAGAACTTACTTGTCATATTGCAACATACAAAAAGCTTACCTAAATCCTTGTTTGCGTGATGGAAATGCAAGAGGTGATTTCCTCTAGAATTGAGGTCTTAGTCAGAAACTTAGAGTAATGCTACACAGTGTTGGAAATTATGTAAATTAAATTACAATGCTTAACTAGCTATTTTTGTAACTCTTTCAATTAGGAAAATTTGGAATTGAAATCTTGAGGGTCTACAGCTGCTGCAGATGCACTTTAGCTTGTCTTCTTTTCTTGGATAATATGCAGCTGGATGGCTTGCTATATTCAGTGGTAAGTGAATACAGCAACTGAAGTAAAGAAATCCTTATCTATGCTTCCAGTAACGTATGCTGGGGCAGCATGTAAGGAAAGGTGCTCTAAGATGGTTGCAAGCCACCCCTAACCTGGTTGCATCCCATCAACCTTTATCTTCTATTTTTTCTCCTTTGGAAATTTAACTTTCCAAAGTCCTGATCACACTGTAGCCAG